AAATTTGAGAAAAATGATTTTTTGTCAAATATGTTAATAATGGTATAACATTTGTGAGAGTGTATGCAATTCGATGATAAAAATAATGACTCCAAGAGACTAGTAAAGTGTCGTTTCTGCGCTTCATTAACCCTTTCTTTAAGTCTATTGAGACAAAAACCAAAAACTAGTGATGAGAGAGAGAGAGAGAGAGAGAGAGAGAGAGAGAGAGAATATTATTGTAAACTACTGTATGACTTCCTCTGTGAATACAAGCGTTACATAAAAGCATTCTTCTGTTCAATGGTTATCTGAAAGTCGACATAGAGTGAGGACACTATACTTCATATGAACCCAATTCATGGGATTCATTGAATTGGTTGTGTTGGTAGCGATGGTTGTGATGGTCTGGCAATCAATATAACTATGAAATAAACAATGGGTTCAATAATAAGAAGAGCAGCAATAGTAGCTCGTCTTCCGGAGTGAGTAGTAGTGCTCTCACTCTTTCAATACAACTCACCAAACATTTGTGTAAAAGGATGTAAAGAGTTGCTAGAGTTTGAAGAGTCTGAACAGTTTGTTCAAACATATTGGTTCCGGACTCCGGAGACCATTCACTTACTCACAAACTAATGTCAACTTCCGTTCAACAAAAACTCAACAAAACTCAACTAAACTTTACTTTCGCTTCAGTTCTAAACTCTTCACTCCATTTGAAAGCAACCGAGAAGTCGTTGAATAAGATGTTAATCAATCATTACATGCATTTGATTGCATATTTGGGACAAAAGTGTCATTTGTTTTGATTGAATGTAAAACTGATTAGAAAAACATTAAATCAGTTTTCAATAATAAGTATTCATGTTTTCATCATCTGATGACACCTTTTCGTTTTATTCTCAAACAATAGCTTTAAAGCCAATACTATTTGTTCACAAAATACAAATGCAATACAAATTCAATGACTATTATTAGAGAGGAATGCCGTCAAAGAAAAATACTTTTCTTAAATTATTCGTCAAGAAAATTAAACTCAAGAACTGTTTGGCACCAAAACCACAGACAGAATGGACTTTAATGTGATTGTCTATTGAGAAGACAATTGTAATTGTTTGCAACAGTTGCTCTCTCTCTCTCTCTCTCTCTCTCTCTTAACTTCAATCACTAATACAAGTATATGTCCTGAGGGCTGGTCGGGAACAGCTTTTATGTGATGTACAGAAAGCAATGCGTGACTTCTTAGGTCTCTGTTGTCGCCTATGTATTATCGATGAGATTATATCGTGTCTTCAATTCGTTTCAATACATTTATCTTAACTTTTGCACATTTTTGGCAGTTTTTCATTACTTTGTATTGTTATGTTTGATAACAATTATATGATATCCTAATAGAGTTCGTACGACAACACCGGCCTATCAGCCAAATACAGGACTTATCTTTTTGTTTGAATACTTACCTGTATGAGTTCAATAAAACTGAAAATGTATTACATTTTTCATTTATAAGTACAATATTTTCAAACTACTAATTGAAAATTGTAATTCATTAAGTAAATTTATAATTTACTGTTACATAGATAAAATTTCAATATGTTAATATTTAATAGTTCTAGTTACTAGATACAGAATCTAGTATCTTTTGGTTTAAATTTTAAATGACAATTGGATATTAAACTTATCAGCATACATATGACTAAATCATTCAAAGACAGGCGTTAGAGCTGGGTCAACTTATTAATAATATGAGTTATACTTTCATATAAACTTATGGAGAATAGCACATGAATGAATTTTTATTTTAAACTAATCTGTGAATGATTTAGTCATATACTAAAGTTATAACTAAGAATCGGTAAAAGTTGTTTTGAATAGTTGGTAAAAAGGGAATGTAGTCAAACATAATTTAGGAGCAAAGCCGCAGTATCTTTACCTAAGATTCAAAATTGTTAGTCATTTTTATCACTAATTTCTTGTAAAATAATTTTTCATGAAAACATATTCATCGATTAGTTTGAAAAAGTATATACAAATTAAATGAATATTTTCAAAACATTCATGCAAAATACTTTTGATTAATACAAATATGACAAATTAAAAATAAATTCAATAAATAAATCATAGTTTCAATAAATGCATTATTAAACTTCATTTGAATCATATTTAATCTGTATTTGTTCAAATTAATCGATGAATATATTTTTATCAAAAATTATTTTACAAGAAATTAGTGATAAAAATGACTAACAATTTTGAATCTTAGGTAAAGATACTGCGGCTTTGCTCCTAAATTATGTTTGACTACATTCCCTTTTTACCAACTATTTAAAACAACTTTTACCGATTCTTAGTTATAACTTATAAGCAATAATTCATTATATTCAACAATGAACCATTGGTCCCACAATCACTCATTTACTTGTACTGTATATCCAATAGTATGTACTGTATTGTACTGTATATCCAAATGTTGACAAAAATACAACTTTCTAATTAAAAAGTACTCGACAATTTTCAAAGTATACACAACTTTAACATGCTTTGTACAAATTAAATGTAGTATGCAGTATACAGAACTCAGTGGTTAATCCAACTATATAATATCTCGACTAATACTAACTACAAGATAAATCATAGCCAGTAGGAATGCAATCAAAATTTGTATTTGTCTTGATACTTTTTCACAGATCAATTATTATTACTAATAATTTATTAGCATTATATCGTTAATAACTGCACTGTACTCTCAAGTTTTCAATGCAATCCTTAATATGGGTCCAGAACACCGATTAATTAAATGTCCTCGTACATTTATATGATTAATCATAATTAGAATTTGTACACTACAGGTAATTGGTTACAAGGTAACTACAGTACAATTATTTACAGTATATAGTTACTGTACTATCTACTAGTTTATTAAACTTGAGAGTGTATTATACATTATACGCACACATTGTAATCCTGGCCACATTAACAGTGACAAAACTGTGAACATTATACATTAGTCAGTATTGAAATGAATGTTCAAATGTTCAAAGTGTTGCCCTAAATGGCTCGAGTGTGCATTCGTAGGTATTATACCTAGGTATTATTATATCGTAGGTATTATACAGATGTCTATCATATTTAGATTATATTATATTATACTATAAATCTAGTTTGTAATTCAAATATCTTGATCGTATTGAGGGACCATTAGATTGAGTGTACAATTTAGCATCAAATCAATTCAATGTATTACATTTTTCATTTATAAGTACAATATTTTCAAACTACTAATTGAAAATTGTAATTCATTAAGTAAATTTATAATTTACTGTTACATAGATAAAATTTCAATATGTTAATATTTAATAGTTCTGGTTACTAGATACAGAATCTTTTGGTTTAAATTTTAAATGACAATTGGATATTAAACTTATCAGCATACATATGACTAAATCATTCACAGACAGGCGTTAGAGCTGGGTCAACTTATTAATAATATGAGTTATACTTTCATATAAACTTATGGAGAATAGCACATGAATGAATTTTTATTTTAAACTAATAACGCCTGTCTGTGAATGATTTAGTCATATACTAAAGTTATAACTTATAAGCAATAATTGATTATATTCAACAATGAACCATTGGTCCCACAATCACTCATTTACTTGTTCTGTACTGTATTGTACTGTATATCCAAATGTTGACAAAAATACAACTTTCTAATTAAAAAAGTACTCGAAAATTTTAAAAGTATACAGAACTTTAACATGCTTTGTACAAATTAAATGTATTATGCAGTATACAGAACTCAGTGGTTAATCCAACTATATAATATCTCCTGATTATGATTGATGTTCTATTTAGTATCGGTCATCCTTACGTTAGTTTTAAACATAAACAGAACTATGAAAAAGTGTCTAGTTAATAATAATGATTATTAAATAATCGTAATATAGCAATTATTGGATTCGTTATTCATATTGTATTATATTACGCACTGTACGTACTCTCAAGTTTTTTGTATTTGTCTTGATACTTTTTCACAGATCAATTATTATTACTAATAATTTATTAGCATTATATCGTTAATAACGATTCGTTATTCATATTGTATTATATTACGCACTGTACGTACTCTCAAGTTTTCAATGCAATCCTTAATATGGGTCCAGAACACCGATTAATTAAATGTCCCTGTATATTTATATGATTAATCATAATTAGAATTTGTACACTACTAATTGGTTAAACTACAGTACAATTATTTACAGTATATAGTTACTGTACTATCTACTATCTACTAGTTGATTAAACTTGAGAGTACTATACTTAGAGTGTATTATACATTATACGCACACATTGTAATCCTGGCCACATTAACAGTGACAAAACTGTGAACATTATACATTAGTCAGTATTGAAATTAATATGTCTACAGATAGTATAAATCTAATATAATATAATATGATATTTAGATCAAACATTAAGTTTATAGAACTAGCATAACTCCCTGGTAATCTAACTCACATGTTAAATCGTAGTTTAGTTAAGTTAATATGATTTACAAACATTTATCTTGAAATATACCTGGTACTGTATGTTTCTACTGTATCCAACCAAAATACAGTGCAAATTGAAACTTTCATACTTTTCAAACAAGTTTCACACTCCGTGTACGTTATTTATGTAGTGCTGGGTATGGCTGATGACATGTGACATCCCTTTCCGCTTGTGGTATAAATCGTGAACACTATCTGTAAGTAAATTGATTTTCATTTAATCTAATTGTCATATAATTGTCACTTAATTGCTTTGATTCACAATGATTTCGATACACATATGTATTGAGTGTTGAATACAAAGATTTGGTGCAAAAGCCACTGATTTGATGGACTGATCGCTGGTCTCAAAGAAAACCGCATTTTCTGTGCTTTGAATCAAGTTTTCAATGAATTGAATGTAAACTTTGATTTGAATTGCGGTTCAAATGAACGATAATCTATCAAATCAGTCAATTATATGAGTAAATGGTTTAATTGATTCAAGACTATAGACATATTATTGGTGTTTAGGTCATCGCAATCATGGGTCGCGTGCCGACTGTCCACTCCAAGACTTATGTGACGCCCAGACGTCCCTTCGAGAAGGAGAGGTTGGATCAGGAGTTGAAACTGATTGGAGAGTTCGGTCTCCGGAACAAGAGAGAGGTCTGGCGAGTGAAGTACACTCTGGCAAAGATCCGAAAGGCCGCCAGAGATCTGCTCACTCTTGACGAGAAGGACTCGCGCCGTCTCTTCGAAGGCAACGCTCTGTTGAGACGTTTGGTGCGGATCGGGGTCTTAGACGAGGGCCGCATGAAATTGGATTACGTCTTAGGGCTCCGTATTGAGGACTTCCTCGAGCGTCGACTCCAGACGCAAGTCTTCAAACACGGATTAGCGAAGTCTATACATCACGCCAGGGTTCTCATCAGACAGAGACACATCCGAGTCCGCAAACAAGTGGTGAACATCCCGTCGTTTGTGGTGAGACTGGACTCTGAAAAGCACATCGACTTCTCGCTGAAGTCGCCGTTCGGTGGCGGACGTCACGGACGAGTCAAGCGAAAGAACCTGAGGAAGACTCAGACCGGAACCGCTCAGGAGGAGGAGGAAGAAGACTAAAGACTCGGTTTATTCGATGATTATATATATATATAATTGTCTTTAGTTTTAAGTTATGGTTCAATAAATTTTGATAAAGACTTAAATCTAGTTTTATTTAACGGTATTATAAACAATGGATTCATTCGTTGTAGAGCTCGTCCTCTTCATACTCGTCGAGCTCTGACTCGTCACCCATTCCTCGTCTCCTCTGAATCTTGTGTTTCATGAATTTGACGAAAGAATGCATTCCTTTCTTGTTTGGAATCTCTTGGATTTGAAACTGATGCCACGGATGCTGTTTATCTTCGAGTGTCATCCTTTTCATCCAATTCTCGTAATTATCCTTAAAGAGTGAGAACTGTTTCCTAAATTTCTCACTTTTGAATCTTTGGTTCATTTCCGTGTTATTCCAGTCGTAATCGGATAATATTTTCTGAAATTTTAATTTAATTAACTCTAAGCTCTCGACTAGTTTCTGATCGGGTTTGATGTCATTGTCTTTCATGTAATGAATCAAAAAATTAATGTATAAAAAGTTGTTGGCTTTGCAGGCGTTGGTCATTAATCCGCCAATTATTTGAATGTTTGGCTTAATGTTCATCTCTTCCATATCAGAGAGCAGTTGTTTCCCTAAACTCATGTCATTACAGCCTAAAGACAAGACACCGAATGTGAGGATATCTGGTTGGAGACCCTTTTCACTCATTTTCTCAATCACTCGTTTTGCGCCAATCATTCCTCTTCGACGACAAACGTGTTTCATAAGAATGTTGAAGAAATCGGTGTCTGTTTTCACACCAAACTTCTCCACTAATTTCAAAATCACGTCTTCTGACTCTTCTCTAAAATCGATTAATTCTGACATTAAAGTCAATGTATTTATATTCGGCTTAACATTAAATGCTGTCATCATTTGAATAAA